GAGCTTTCAATTAGTAGGCTGACTTTTTTCTGCCGCCACAATGACGTATTGTAGAGAGTTGTATGAGTTTTTCTTTACATTTCATCAGATTATCTGGCGTACTGACAGAAGTGAGTGGTAGATTTTGTTAACTGTTGTCAGCTATTCTTGGAGTTTGAGCTGGTCAACCCCTGTTTTCTTTGTACATTTGGAAGGCGGACTCTTGTGACTTTCTCTTGCAGAAGAAGTTAAGGTTTACATTTTAAAGGTGAAAAAGTATTTTTATCAGGCCTTCTTTTAATCTATTAAGATAAAGCCTTCAAATGCCAAATGCAACATTTGGTGATACAGGCCGTAGTCTGCACACACGTTGCTTTTATTCACAGGCACTTATTTAAGTACTTAAAGATAGCATTCTGATAGCAAGTATCTAATAGCACATACCGCCTGAGAGGCATCGATTGGGATGTTAAGTTTTCCTACTCATGGTTCTCTGTTTTGATATGCACGTAATTTGGTCTGTGATTGAGATTTGGGGCTAGCGGAGAAAGTAGGTCAAAACAATCGAAAGGCGGCCGATAACACGAGAAGCGACCCCGTGGAAATGTTTTTAGATTAACATCGTAATCCACTTCAAACACCTCTCAACAAGGCGGGGGTAATTCCTTCAGCGAAGAAGAAGTGCATACTGATTCATCTAGATAATTTGCTAACTAAAACTGGGTGGTCGCACTCTTTTAGCAGCAATCAAACCTTGAATGATTCGAACAGTTCGGTAGTTGGAATGTAATTTTATCTGAAGACGGAATTTAGATTCAAAATTGGTCTGTGGCTGTCATCAAGGCTAGATGTGCTAGCTGTATACTCAATTCTCAATCCTCAGCTGTACTTAGTTTTAAGTAACCATAGCTTGTACAGTAACAGAAATGAGAAATGGCCGAAACGAACAAACACGAACCAGTTACGAGCTCTCATTCTTGTATATACATTTTGCACCATGTATGTGTAAAATATGTGTATAGTTATAGTAGGAATTTGAAAACGATGTAAACTTGATGTATTTTGTCTGACCCTCACATGTAAAGAGGCTTGCATGCCGATTTGAGCTTTGAGCCGATTTGAGCTAAAGAATGGTTCAAACAAATTACACCCGGTTACTTGGTACGTATGACGTCTAAACCGGCATATACGCGTTCATTATACTTGAATACTGTCCCTGTCGCCCCCCTGTCTACCGCCATGTCTACATTGTACAGTACAACCGCCTGAAGCGAGCACGAACCAACCATTTCCAGCCCCAGTAAATTACATATAATTGTCGACTTGTACAGGCTTTGATCATGGTTATTCTGTCTTCTCTGGAAGCTGCGACTGCTGTAAATTTCCATATCAGAAGTCGTTTCGTCCATAAACGGTCCATAACTATAATTTGTGTACAGTAGCATTCGTCTTCCAAAGTTTTGTTAATGGGCCCTTTTCACTGTGATGTTACTCGAGGAAGATTGTTTTCCAAAGGTGTACTTCACCTGAACAAAGGTTTTAATGTTCAATATTTCAGAGGATACACGTAGAGTTTCTATCTTATTTCCTCGCAATATCACTGTCTTTTAGATGATATTGATGGCACAGGCAGAGAGTACCACACTGTAAATATAGCATTCTGTTGAAAATTCCTTGCAGTAATTTTTTTCTACGCCAAGAAAAGTACTTAACAAGGTCCTAACTGCTACCTGATGCAGCTTTAAACTCGAAACTATTCTATTATGTGCATTTTCGCCCTTGGAATCATTGTCGACGTCGTTTATATTGAGTACATAGAATGGGGAATACCGTTTTATGAATATGGCAATATTTACAGAGTAGTATTTTCTGTAGTAAATTACTTTCAGTAATTTATTCTTCGCCATGAAAAGTACTTAACAAGTTCCAAACTGCTACCTGATGCAGCTTTAAACTCGAAACTAGTCTATTATGTGCATCCGCGCATATGGAAACATGCAGGGCGCCTGTTCTGTCCTGACGTTCCTGCGTCATGGCGGCTCCACACGACGCTAGAGCGCGGCGACGCCTGTCAGAATCTTGAAAACACGAGATTACCACCTAAGTAACGTCTTATCCCTTGATTGAATTGACCTTTCATGCTAATCATGTGATCAGGCGGGAGGTTTAATAAGATACGAAGCCCTGTCCGCCCACGCAATTTCAGGCACAGCTCAAAGAATGTCTCCATTATCACAACCGAAATTCTTTCCTTTTTTTGTTACGATAGTGACGTCTGCGTTAGTTGGATACTAGTTATCGCTGCCTCCTTTTTCCCTTTCATTCACAGCAAACTGGAATCATAACAAGGTCTTCCGCCATCTTGTTTTTCGAAACACCTTACATTTTCTGACTCTGCGCATATTTATGTACATGTTGTTTTGCGGATATTTTAGTAAACATGATCATAGTTTATCAGAGTTCTGGAGGGGTGGGTAATAAAATAAACTGTTATTGATCACTGCATCATCTGTAGAAAAGGTCGTTACTGTTTTAGGAATCGTTAGAATTTGACTATTAGTAACCTAAATATTGGCAATAAATACAGATAAGTTCCAATGTCACTTCCAACGATATTTAAGAAGCTAAACGGTACATTAGAAATGACTTTTTGTTTTGATAAATATCTACTTCATGATGAGTGGATTCTTAATTCCGTCCTTTCCTGACGAGACTATCTGTTTTGTGCACCAGGGACAGCTGTCAGGTTATATATGCAGAACTGATACGGTGAGCTTGTAGCCATCTATCTCTTAGTCCCCGGAGCTTCAGGTTGTTTGCAGTGTGTGTTGTTGTGACCTCTGTTCTCAGTTGTCAACTGACATTAGGATTGAAACGCCGGCTAAAAGGCACAGGGATATAGATGCAGGTATCATGATCTGGTCCACTGAAGGCATAAAAATACGAAGGGACGACAATGCCACGAGGTACACATGTAGGCAGCTGTAGGGTTATATCTGCAGAACTGATACGGTGAGCTTGTAGCCATCTATCTTTTAGTCCCCGGGGCTTTGGGCTGTTTGCAGTGTGTGTTGTTGTGACCTCTGTCCTCAGTTGTCAACTGACATTAAGATTGAAACACCGGCTAAAAGGTACAGGGATATAGATGCAGGTATCATGATCTGGTCCACTGAAAGCATAAAAATACGAAGGGACGACTTTGTCGTGAAAACAGATATCAGCTACGTAGTAAGTGACGGCAATGCCATGAAGTACACATGTAGTCAGCTGTAGGGTTATATATGCTGAAGTGATACGGTGAGCTTGTAGTCATCTATCTCTTAGTCCCCGAAGCTTTCGGCTGTTTGCAGTGTGTGTTGTTGTGACCCCTGTTCTCAGTTGTCAACTGACATTAAGATTGAAACACCGGCTAAAAGGTACAGGGATATAGATGCAAGTGCTCGAATCTGGTGATATCATTCATACAAATTGTCAACTGAAAGCCTCTTTTCATGAAAACAGATGTCAGCTATATAGTTATGAGCAACGGCAATGCCAGGAAGTACAAATGTAGGCAGTTGATCATGAGTAAGAGACGATTTTAAAATCTGTGATGTGTGGTTTTTAGAGCTCCACGGTAAACAGCAAGTTGTACTGGATGCTTTTAATGTGAAGAGAAATAGGCCATTATCTTTGTGGTGGTACGTATAAGGTAGCTGGACCTGGTCTTGACACTTAAAGATCTATCACCAATGAAGACCTGTTATGTAACTGTTCGCGACAAAACCCTCGGGGTTTCCCGGCTTACACCGAGCTTTCAGACTGTAGTGCTGCTGTCCTGATGACAGCTTTCTTACATGATATAACAACCAGTCCCCGCCTTACACCGAGCTTTCAAACTCAGTAGAGCTGCCGTCGCGATGACAGCTTTCTTCTGAAGTTGAGCTCAGTTGGTCTGTGAAACAAATTAGGCACCAAGCTGCGCCGGTAGATACCAGAGTGCACAAACACCACTGCCGGCCAAATTGCGAGAGAGTTGACTCCCTGAGATACCTCTGCTGTTAATGGATGGTGATTCCCCCTTCCCTCGCATCCAGTCGGGTCTCCTGACATTTCCCTGGCATCAGTTCCGCTTTGGCTGTGACTTTGAAAGTGCCGCTGGGGAGAACGGGGTCCCCCGAGCCCGCGAAATTACCGTACGTCGTGCCGCGGCACCCGAAAGAGAGGAGGCAGGAGTGACTAATCACATGCCAGCCGAGGACGCAGTAATGACGGTCGTTTGTCACGCCGGCTGACAACTTGTGACGTAGGCGGCAATCTTGTGGCATGTAGTTTTATGGCTCATGCATATGGCTCCCGGTCTGCTGCATCTCATCTGTAGTGATATCTTGCAAATCTCGGTACAGTTCCAACCTACTAGCAGTATATATAAGGTTTTTATTAAGAGAAATAACTCTAAGTATTATTTCATCATAACTGATAATATTTCTATCTATCTATGATGATATCTTACACATCTTTTGATATATATAAGGTTTTTATTAAGAGAAATAACTCTAAGTATTATTTCATCATAACTGATAATATTTATATCTATCTATGATGATATCTTACACACCTCGGTACAGTTTTCAGATATTAACAGTAAGGCTTTTATTACGGAGAATAACTCTTTCAATCACAACTGATGATATTGCTATCTATCCATGATGAGAAATAATTCATACTTTTCTTAGTATAAGGTGTGTTTTGGCAGTACTGAACTTTTTTCCGTAGCTAGAAACGAACTAATATGCTAGGAGGGCTTTAGGGTTGTATACTTCAAATTTTGAATAGCCCCTTGTTGTAAATACAGGTGCACGTTAAGAATGCAATAAAATGCCATTTTGAGTGAGTAGGAGTCATATAGAGGAAGAGGCTATATCTTCTGGCGGAGGTTTGCCAACTAGTCTACCGGTGACCCTACATTTCCCCCTACAGCACAACAAATGAATCTTCTCCACAAGTTCAAGGTTGTTTATTGATTGATGACGTTTTATCAGTGCCAACACAGACCTTCCAGCTAAACAGCTGCTGCCGGGAGTTTAATCTGCAGATCGTCCCTCCCGAATCGGTCTCCAGACGGGAGCGGCCCGTCCTTGTCTGTAGCGCTGAGGGATTGCCTGACAGTGTGCAGAGATTAGAGCAGCACGCAGACAGGTCCTTACAGGGCCGGCTGAGGACAGGGTGCTCCATCACGCTGCACGGCGCATTTGCATGGGACGTCTATGGCCAGACGTCAGGATAGCTACTGAAGAAGGACGGGTACGGAAGTATTGTCTTGGGTGGGTTTGTGTGTGTGTGTGTCCTTGGTCGGAAAGAGTAAGCTGATAGCAGGTGGGTTGATGGGTAGAACAGGGTCGGCTGAGGACAGGGTGCTCCATCACGCCACACGGCTGATACAGGGACGCGGCGCATTTGCATGGGACGTCCATGGCCAGACGTCAGGATAGCTTCTAAAGAAGGGCGGATACGGAAGTATTGTCTTGGGTGGGTTTGTCTGTGTGTGTGTCCTTGGTCGGAAAGAGTAAGCTGATATATAGCAGGTGGGTTGATTGGCAGAACAGGGCCAGCTGAGGACAGGGTGCCGCACGGCTGGTACAGGGACGCGGCGCATTTACATGGGACGTCCATGGCCAGGCGTCAGGATAGCTTCTAAAGAAGGGCGGGTACGGAAGTATTGTCTTGGGTGGCTTTGTCTGTGGGTTTGTGTTGGTCTGTGTTTGTCTGTGTATCCTTCCTCGGACAGAGTAGGTTGATAGCGAGTGGGAAGATTGACATGTGCTTTGGACGTCCATGGCCCAACGTCGGGATCAAAGCATATTTGTATGTGGATTTGTGTGTCTATCAGAGTAGGTTGATAGCACTGGGGTGGGGGAAGTTTGACAGGTAGAACGAAACAACTGATTTGCATTGGACATCCTTGGATATGCAGCTAAACTTGAGTTTGTTCTTTGTGAAACATTCTCGTGATTTGAATGGTATAAGTCTTCATTACTTTGGTCCTAAAGTGTGACTATAACTCGAATAGTACCTATGACGGTTGGGTGAATGATGGTGACTCCAGCTGGTGCATAAATTGAGACCGTTTTTAAACCGCGCTGAGAAAGGTGACAGTCCAGCTCGACCGAGATTTCTGCTAGCCTCCAACTGCAACGATTGAATTACGCTTGTGCGCCTTCACAAAGCTTCTAATGCGAAATTATTACGTTAGGAAAGCCGAAACTTTCTCCACTCTCCGCTTTTTTCACGGTTCTCTGCAGCAACGGGCGCATCTTAACCTTTCAAATAGAATTCCACACCCACGCTAAGTCTCTTTTATCAAGAGGCGTCCCGAAAGACATTAAAGTTTGCCTTGAACATGGCGACTTGACGATGGATGAGTGTTTGATAGTGAGGGATTGCGGTCGTCACCGGAAACCTGTATTACACAGATACCGGCGCAGACGGGACGGGGGCGGGTTACATGTTCGAACGTTCTATAGAGATCACTCCGCGTCGGTGGGTTATTGGTCAATGTTTTCGTTGTTTTTAAACGCGTCCCTACCCGTCATGCCATACGGTCTACCTCACCCTTACGTATTTTTCTAGCAATAGTAGTGTTTTAATCCACAGGATTTGTAATGCTGTATCTAAATCTGTATGTAAGACTATTGTGCTGCGCTTAGCTTTAGGGACAAATTTATGAAGCTGTAAGAAATATAAATCAATAGACGTCTCTGTCTTGAGCGATTACCTATTTTTTCTCTCTATCCCTTTTTGTTTTTTCCTTGTAATATTCAATTACACATGTTTGAGCCCCCGCAAAGACCTCTGCATTTAGAAAGAGGCAACCGCAACGGAGCGAATCCCTGCTCTATACACTGACATTTTTAGAGGGCTTTGACCTTTCCTGACAAAATGTCATGTCGTCTGCTCGTCATTCGTGACTGACGTCATCGGTGACGTAGTCTGCTATCTGCACTGTGGTTGGCTCATAGACCATGTTTCCGTTTGATAATGTTTTTCGTTTAATTTAGCCATGGAGACTGAGTGTATATGCATACCTCTCAAAATGCCATCCTTTTCAAAATACTATGTGTTTTTTTTATTTTACGGAAATTCTGAACCCTGTAAGTGATTGAGTGGGCTGTAACACTAGAAAGGTCAAATTTATGCAACATTTTACACCGCCGTAAACGTGTTTACTGTCGTAAACACTTCAGAGAGAAATCAGTTACTCTTTTCCAAAGGTTTACAGGTGATAAATCACATGGCAACATCACTGATGCTGCACGCCGTTAAATATTGCATTACGAGGAAACCGGCAGTCCCGACTTGCACGTCTGTCGTAAAATCACACATCCGGGCACATTTCCAGGATGGTACCGAATGACGGCCGTTGGTAATGCATACTGTTGTTCTATAATGTTCAGTTTATGATTTTTGGATAAAACGCATCCTGGAAAATATATTGAATGGGATATCGTCGTAAAGTGCATTCATTTTGAATGACTCTGCATTCAGATTTTACGATTGCATGGCAATAATGTTCTTTGAGTACAGTTGTGCTGCTTACACTTGTAACAATATACCATATATCCCATCTGCTTGGCTCACAGAGGCATGAAAAAACGTATTTTTTTGCAAGCAGGCATCATACGCACATTACAAGATGCCCTGACGTTAGTACGTCATTTCTTTGCTGAGATGTAGTTTATGTCCATGATACTTCGACATTCCTGGAAATTTTCGTCGGTCGACCAATGCGCATGTATACAAGAGTGAGTGAGTGAATGACTGAGTGGTTGAGTGGTTGAGTGAGTGAGTGAGTGAGTGAGTGGTTGAGTGAGTGAGAGAGTGAGTGGTTGAGTGAGTGAGAGAGTGAGTGAGTGGTTGAGTGAGTGAGTGAGTGAGTGAAGGCACTATGTCCAACTGCACAAATGTTGGAGGTCTCTTCTGGTACACTTTAATTTGGAGAACGCAGAACTTCACAAGAGATAGCTGTAAGACCTCTACATCTCTTGTATCTTTTTGGTGGCAATTCACATGTTTCTTTCACATCCCAACCGCTTGATATATCAATACCTCGGATCTAGCATGGGGATTTCTGTATTGCATTTCTGTACAGTTTGCCTCGGGCTGTTTGTGTGTAATATCTACATCTTGATAAATCCCAGTCCAATAGGACCACAGGGAGGCTATTTCCCGACTGCCGGTGGCTGCCTGCAGCAGGTACGAACTGCAATAATGGAGACTGCCGTGGTTCATCAGATTAAACTCGCGAGACGTCGTCCGGTTCCCGGTGATTCTTCCAGGCTCAGAGATAGTTACTTGTAATGTAGCCAGCTGCCGCCGCGCCGCGTGCTTGCGAAGCTGGTGTGTTACGCTGAAGGAGGGTTATACCGGCTATATTGATACAAATAATGATACAGATACTTCCTGCATCTTGTAATAAAATGAAAATGGCAGAATGGCAATTATTTTTAAATAGAAGAGCGTTTTAGTTTGATACGGCACTTAGGATAATACGAAGCACATTCAAACACAATGTTTAATTTGAAAAGAAAACTAACTTCCGTTACTTGCTTTTAATCATGCATACTTTACAATAGTTCAGCTGATCTTTTATACTTAAGTAGACAGCTGTAATATGACCAAGAGACAGTGAAATCATTTTTAAAAGAACATTTGTATGGGATTTTCCTTTAAAATTTTAATAATCAACACAGCGTGATTTTCCCGAACGTCAATATATATCCAGACGGTTTACTGGCTTTCTAGTTGGTGACTACTGAAAAGAAAATAGAAAAGTGTGACTGTATTTGCAATTGAACATATTAATAATGTTGAATACCAAAGTTCTTTCTTCAAAACTACTGTCTAAAATGTTGGTAGCAGCGAGACCTTTGAACTATTTAAAAGAGCCAATGTACCGGCCAGATAATATTAAATAAGCGAGTACGCTTGATTTTGAAAATTGATGTAGGATGTTACTTCCAGCTAGTTTGAAGGCTTACTTGTCCTCATAGCAGTACAGGCTATACGTCGAAGTCATAACCATTTCTAATTTCACATAATGATTATGCATTTATCATAATTCATATGATTTGTACAGTCATGTTCCTAGAGATGTAGAACAAGCTTTCAGAAGGGGTAGTTACTTGATAGTTGATAACTTTCATTTCATTTATTGGTGATGCCACAATGCATTACAAGTGGGAGCCAGGCAGCCTAAAGGCTGGTGGCGGCTGCCACTGATACATACAACACAACACAACACAACACAGGACAAGTCAATACAATATACAAGACCTAACAACAAGTTACGAATATCCAAATAGCAAAACATAACAGTGCATTATACAATATCGAAGACACATCATCGTCAAATTAATATAGTAATCATAAGAATATCTATAGTCAAAAGGGAAGAGGAAAGATGGAACGCTTGGAAAGTCTGATAGGTTAAAAATTGTTCAAAAGTTAGTAATCGGAGTAATTATTGCCAGAACTAAGTCCATCCTTGATGTGCATATGGTACACGGGTACGCAGGTGGTCATTAAGCAACTGAAGTTGACAAGGGGATTTTTACTAGCGTGACCTTTAATGCATTCCGTGAGTAATAAATATACTTACGACATTTTATCCCACTTTCGCATGATGGATTTCCTGTTTTGAGAGATCCTAAGTTCAATAAACGTCACCATAGCAACGCATGACGTCATTCGTAATCATGCCAATGAGATCAGCCTTTGCTGTTTAATACTGTAATGAAATAGGCCGTGTGCATTATGCAGGGTTTTTTTTACGTAATTCTGATATTTGGAACCTATCGACAAATGTGTCTATCTTGGTGTAAGGATTGCTCCTATGAATTCGTGTGTTACACAGTGAGGCTAGCACGTACAAGCGACACTGCACACGCCCCCCCCCCCATCGTACTCTCAACGCCATCGTTACGAGCTGACCTCTGTCCCGTTGCCCTTGGCAACGCGAGCGCGCGAATCTCGTCTGCGCGTCTCCAGAGCCCGGCTTGAACTGGGTCAGCGGTCTGATGAGCGATCCGCTGACGCACGGAACAGAGCCGCGAGTTATCTGGGGGGATCTTATACACTCTCTCGGTATGAAATATGATGCACGGTATTATTGCGTTTCAGATGCTGGCAGTTGCGCCGGAGGACGGGGCTAGTGCTGCTGCTTCTGCTGTTGCTGCAACGACGTAGCCGGGACGCACCAGTTACAGCGTGAGCCGCGCACCGCTAGGGCAGCATCAACTTGCAGCCAAATGGATGGCAACGCGCGGTAAGGGCTGTGGATCAGGATGGTCGTGTCATCAACCGCCTCACGTGACCGTCATTAGCCGAGAGAAAACCGCGTCAGCCGCCACGTACGGTCTGCGTGCAGCGGTGTGATCGTGTGTTACGGCAGGCGAGGAGTACTAGTACCATGTTCTGTAGGACGCGTCACTACCATCCTCACACCTGATGATGATCGGTGTAATGTAGCCAGCTGCCGCCGCGCCGCGTGCCTGCGAAGCTGGTGTGTTACGCCGAAGGGCAGTTATACCGGCTATACAGATACAGAAGCTGGTGTGTTACGCCCAAGGGCGGTTATACCGGCTATACAGATACAGATACAGGTGAGAATGCGCTGGAACCGGCTCTGATTTCCAGCCATGGAGAGAGAGTCCACCTGTTCGGTGGAGCCCGTCTCCTCGGACCGGTCCATCGACATCGAACACAACCTCATCTCGTTCGCGGACGTCGAGCAGTGGTTGGACGACAACCCCGAGTGTTTCGAAGACTACTTTTTACGCAAGGGGAGGACAGAAAGCGTACGGAAATGGCTGTCGTTGCACCATGACGTCAACGAGGAACTAACGGCAGCGCCCGTGTCCAACAAGTATGTCCAGGGCACTACGCTAGATTCCAACACGTCGGGTAGACCCCCGCCCTCCTAAAGCACACTTGCGGCACCAGTTCGCCCGCTCGCGAACCCGGAATGTCAACTTTGCCACCTCAGAATCCGGAGTTTCCGTCGAAAAGGAGGAAAGCCGCGACTCGGATAGGAACAAGGACAAGAGGATACGTTTCAGAAAAGCAAACTCCCTCCCTCCGAACCCTTCCAACATCCTCAGTATGCTCTTAAAATCCAACGTCCGCCTCCCTCGAGTAAACAGCAAAGACATCGAAGACAAGCGGCGTTTGAAAGCCGAAAACGAGCGGGAATTCTTCCTGGAGATCGTCAAAGATATGGCTAACGACTTAGACCTAACATCGCTGAGCTACAAAATCTTAGTGAACGTGGGGATCCTTCTGGATGCGGATAGATGCTCGTTGTTTCTGGTGGAGGGTCCGAAGGGGAGGAGGGAGTTGGTGTCGAAGGTGTTTGACGTGCACGCGGGTACGAACGTGATGCCGGGATATGTGGGAGACAATGTGGTGAGGATCCCGTGGGGGATGGGAATCATCGGATACGTGGCAGAACACGGCGTGCAGCTCAACGTGCCAGACGCTTACCAGGTGAGTCTGTTCGTTGTTTTTACGCATATGAAGGGTGGTAAAATGAGCATGTAGTAAATGCTCTCTCTCTCTCTCTGTAAATCTCTCTGTATATCTATATCTATCTATATCTATCTATCTATCTATCTATATATATCTATCTATATATATATATCTATATATATATATCTATATATATATATATATATATATATATATATATATATATATATATATATNT